ATTAACACGCAGAAGACGGTGGTGATGCACCAACCGCCGCCCAACTCAGCCACAGCCCCCAACGCGCCGCCGCAAATCAGCGTGAACGGAAATCAACTGCAAGTGGTAGAGAACTTCCCGTATCTGGGCAGTACCCTCTCCACCGACGCCACCGACCTTACCACCCCTCACTCCCCCGCTTCCTCCTCCACCTCCTCCTTCACTGCCACAACGACGGCAACTCCGGCGTCTGTCGCCCACGGCCTCACCACAGCCGAACCTGGCACAACAACCGGCACAACCCCTGCAACCACCATCATCCGACGTGAGGGCCAGGACTACATCTGCCCTCACTGCGATCGCACCTTCACTTCACGCATCGGCCTGGTCGGTCACTTGCGAATCCATCGCACAGAGACTGGCGAACCAGTGCCTGGAGCACCAACCTACACTCACCGCACTCGCCTCCACTGCCCACACTGCCCTCGCACCTTCAGGCATCGCATGGGTCTATTCGGCCACATGCGCACCCACGAGAGCGGAATTGACCACAATTCCGATACAGCCACGACATCCAACACATCCACCACGCCCAGACCAATCCTCGCTCCACCGTCACACGCGTCGACCACCACCGCCACCAACACCACTGCTTCCTCTACAGCTGACACCGACACCGCCAACCTCTCATGCCCACATTGTCCACGCATCTTCACCTCACGCATCGGCCTGGTGGGTCACTTGCGAATCCATCGCACAGAGACTGGCGAACCAGTGCCTGGAGCACCAACCCACACCCACCGCACTCGCCTCCACTGCCCACACTGCCCTCGCACCTTCACGCATCGCATGGGTCTATTCGGCCACATGCGCATCCACGACGACCTGCGGTAGACAACCGCCGGTCACACCACACATTCCCTCACTCCCCACCTCCTAACACCATCACCCCACCAGACATCAACACTCACACACCTCATGCACTCAACTGCCGCCTCCCACGCAAGTGGGAAGTGTGCATCTCGACTCGGTCCCCATGCGGTTTCGGCTGCACGGGTGACTTGTGTCCAAGACTATCCCGACACGCCAAGCGTCGTGGATAGGAAGGTTGCTGACTGAGGCCGGCTCTCGGTTCACGCAGTTCGTCACGTTGTGTGTGTGTGTGTGTGTGTGTGTGTGTGTTGTGTGGAGTGGCGGACTGGTGGGCTGGGGACGGGCTGCAACAGCACCTTCCACGGCACTCTCACGCATGTGAGAGACACGCCGTTCTACCCCCGTTGTGTGAAATCCTGGTGTTTGTGTGTATGGGGGGCCAGGTCGTGCTGTGGCGCGCGCAGGCATGGTCAGTCGACCATGCCAGCCACCGCGCCCATTCCCCACTCCAGTCTACTGACCGGCTCGGACAGTGGCTGGGGTGTGGGAATGGGAAGGGGGAGTGAGGTCGACGACTCAGCGCATTTTCCTCACTATAATCAATCTGACGCGCTTGAAGCTATCACGGTGCGCTAAAAGCCGTGGCTTGGAAGGTTGCCAACTGACGGGATACCTTGGACCTCCTCCTTAACGGGAGGCGGTCTGAGAGTCAGGCTGCAATGGCTCCTTTTTAATGTGGCCTTTATGGCACTCCTACCACAGTGTGGGATCCGAGCCAGGCGTTGGCGGCACGCCCAGGTGCGGCTTCGGCCGTGCCAGCCTCCAAATCTCTGTTGTGTTGGTTGAAATCCTGGTTATTGTTGTGTGGACCAGGGGGTGTGGTGGAACGCCAAGGTGAGGATCCGTCCGAGCCATCCACCTGCGGCCTTCCTCGTCTCCGGTCTTCTTGACTCTGTATTGACACCGGGCCCAGGCGGGGGAGGAGGAGAGAGTGTAGGTAGATGCTACGCAAGTCTACTGGCACTATAAACCCCTGCGTAAGTCACCGTCCCTGCTCCCACTGCTGCTGCAGCTGTGGGGCATACGGTGGACATCGTCGAAATCGACGGCCGAACTGTCAGTATGCGTGTGTGTGTGTTTCCTCGTGCCAGTCGCCTGCGCCTTCTCCCACCTCTGGTCTTTTTGACTCCCTCTTGACAGTCGGTCCGTGTGGCGGAGGTGTAGAGTGTGCGCTTGAGGAAGCGCAAGTTTTGCTCTTCCCTCTAAACTCATTAACGCACAAATCACTAAGCTGTGTAGCACACTGTGGACATAATCGAGACTGACGGCCGAACTGTCATTGTCGTGTACCCAAGCTGCCCCTAGAACGGGACACGCTGTAAATTCACTGAACCAACACTTATGAAATTCCGACAGGCATTATTCCGCCCATAATGAATGCCAACATCTGGGGTGTTGCGGCAGACCCACTTGCATGCTCACGCTCCGCCAACTGGGATCCGTGCGACCCTCCTTCTCATTTCTGTTGTTCAAAGACCTGGCCAGCGTCTACAGTGGACAAGATGGTGTAGTGGCACGCCTGCGTGAGGGTTTTCCACGCGTCTATAACCTGCGGCCTCTCCCAACTCCGGTCTTCTAATCATGACGCCGGATGCAGGTAAAAGAGGAGGAGCGAGTGCGGTAGACGCAGCGCAAGCCACCGTCACCGCTCGCAACCTATTGCAAAATACACGGTAGACATCGTCGGCAATGACGGTCGAACTGTCGTGTGTGTTTTTTACACGGGCCACGCTGTAGATGCTATGGAGCAACATAGGGAGGCTTTATCGGTAATGCCGACATGGGAAGTGTGGTAGTACGGCCATGTGTCGGCTTACAGCACGCCTATTGGGATGCGTGTCACCCCCTATTGTCTTGGCGTTTAAATCCGGGTCGATGCGTGTTGTGGGCCAGGGGGTGGGAGGGTACGGCTAATTGCGGGTTTACGCCGCGACAGTCACCTGTGGCCTCTCCCTCCCCTGGTCTTTAGTGACACCGGATCTAGATAGGGGAAGAGAAGAAGATAATGACGTAGATGCTGCGCAAGTCACAATACCTGCGCCACCATGTGATGGGGCACGTGATGTACCTCATGGGAAACAACAATGGAACTGTCCTGTGTATTTTTGCGTGATGTTGTGCGGTAGGATTACAGTAGGTGAGCTAACTCATGAAATGTCAACCGAAATTCCGAAATCTGTCTTCGTTTCGAAAAGATTAACTACGTAGGGTTATAAAAGTAGCCGGCCTGCAAAATAACTCTATAATATTTCAGGTTTCTCAGGATGTCAGCTTTTGAACGAACTTCCTTCCGACTGCAAGCAAAAATTATACTCTGTAAAAACGACTACTTAAATAGCACGAAATTCTCTCGTCGATTTTCGATGCCTCTAAAAGTCCAATTATAGTTCATGGAAAACATGCATAACAATATTCATTTTTTTGCTCATTTGGTAGATAATTACGTATTCTTCTAATTTTGTATTCGAAGGAGGGACAAAATCAGGTGTTAAAAAGGTTCTAAGTGTGGGACTTTTAAATAGCGTTAAATGGCCGTTCATAAATCGTCATGTCTCTGCACTTACTAATGTGGCTTGTAAAGTTAACAATATGGATCAAATCCAATGCTTAATTTTATGAACCCTATATGCTCCCTCTTTATTATCACGGCGAAATGTGTGGTTTTCCGTACGCGGAAAATATACGGCTTGTAGTTTGGAAACCCCGAATCCAAGTCTAACGGTAGAGCGGGTTCAAAAGTATTCAGGAATTGGAAAAGTTTTGAAAACCGAATAATACCCTTCCTTTGAGTATAAGGTTGGAAGAAGACGTAATTGTCTACCGAATAAGCAAAAAGATGGATATTTTTATGCATGTTTTCCATGAAATCTGATTAAAGTTTTAGGGTCATCGAAAGTCAATGAGAAAAATTCATGCTATATAAGTAGTAATGTTTTGCAGAGTATAGTTTTTGTATGCAGTCGGAAGGAAGTCCGCTCGAAAGCCGGAATCCTGAGCTAAATGAAATATTATAGAATTATACTGCAGACCGATTAGTTTTACAAACTTACTTAATCAATATTTTCGAAAGGAAAACGCATTTCGGAAGTTTCGTTGACATTTCATGAGTTAGCCCACCTATTGTAAGATATGATTTGGCAAAAGGCCTTTCCTCCGGGAGAGACACTGGAGCGAAACTTAAGTAGTTTACAGGTTTCCCACTAGTGATTGGTGTCTGTGCTAATTAAGTCATACTTCAGCCGCGAATAAGAACACGAAACACTAACGTCTTTCAGATGTTCAGTCTTCCTCAACCGCCTTGCTTTGAGGGAGGTTTATTTTGGTTTTGAGAAGTATGATAACTGCTACGACATAAAGCTTCAGTTCACCACCAGCCACGGCCAGGCGCGACAGTAGATGAAGACTCAAGCACCGGGTGAAGTTTGCATCAAAATGCCTACAGTAAGTGGGCTAACTTATGAAATCTCAACAGAAATTCCGAAATGCGTTTTCGGTTAGAAAAGATTACTTAAGTAGGGTTGTAAAACCAATCATTGTGCAGCATAATTTTATAGTAATCCAGTTACCTCGGGATGGCGGCTTTCGAATAAACTTCCTTTCAGCTGCATGCGAAAACTGTACTCCGTAAAAAACGACTGCTTATGTGGCATGCAGTTTTCTCATTGATTTTCGATGCCCTTAAATATTCAATTATATTTTTTAATGGAAAAAAATGCATGAAAATGTTCATTCGTTGTCTCATTCGTTAGAAAATTACATCTTCTCCTTATTTTATACTCGAAGAAGGGATATAATTAGGTTTTAAAAAACTTTTCCAATTCCCGAATAATTTTGGACCCGATTTGCCGTTACGCTTGAATTCAGGCTTCACAAACCACAAGCCGCATAATTTCCGCGTACGGAAATCTGTTAATTTCTCTACGGCATTCAGAGGAGATTAAATGGAGTTCACTGAATTTAGTAGTGGATTTGATCCATATTGTTAACTTTACAGTTCACATTGGTTAATGCAGAGACATGACGCTTTATTAACGGCCACTTCATGGTATTTAAAAGTCTTACAATAAGAAACTTTTTTAAAACCGAATTATACCTTCCGTCAGAGTAAAAAATTTAAAGGAGCAAAACAATGAATATTTTTATGCATGTTTTCCATAAATTATAATTAAATCTTTAGGGGCATAGAAAATCAATGAAAAAATGAATGCTACTTAAGCAATCATTTTTACGGAGTATAGTTTTTGCATGCAGCCAAAAAGTTTGATCTAAAGCCGACGTCCTGGGTTAAAGGAATTATTATATATTTATGCTGCACGATGATTGGTTTTAAAACCCTTCTTAATTAATCTTTTCGGAACAAAAACGCATTTGGGAATTTCGGTTGACATTTCGTGAGTTAGCCCACCTACTGGATGTTAACTAATATCGTTTTAGAAAGTTAACCATACGGTACGAATCAGGTGGGGCTCAGAACCAAACCTCGCCGATATACCGTTTGTAATGCCTAGGAGAGCAGCTTTACCGTGGTTGCGTGGATTTATTCGCTCTCTGTATGTGTCCATGAAAGAACCATCTTTGCACCATCGGGATCGCGCGAAACTTGGTCCGCGAAGTCAGATGTTGCATGAGTTAAGAACCGCCGTGTTTGGTTGGTTGGTTGGTTCTGAGCCCTTTTCCGCCACACATCTGGCTGGTGCGTGGGCAAACGTTAGATGTCGGTGCTGGTGTACGCATGATGGTTCCCTCGAAGACTGTGCATTGACAATCGCCTCAAAAACCGCAATTTCTCCTCTAGTAACGGTATGTTGTCTGGGTTTTACAGTGGTGCGGACTGACTTAATTATCGCGAAGATGTTCTTCACCCCACCGCGGTCCGCGTAACTTTGAAGTTCTTCTAACTTGCTAGTTGGCCAATCATTTGGCATCTCCTCCAGGCTCCCCTGCAGTGAGCTCGACATTAA